CCCACCCCTGCGCAGAGCTTCGCAAACAGATACAGCTTCAAAGGGATGGGCGACATCATGTCCATTACGCTGGATCTCCCTCCTGTTTGCCGAAAAGGTTTAAGTATGGGGCGGGGCTGCGTGGGCGGCGCGGCGGCTAGGGCTGGGGGTGGCGGGCACGGTCGCGTCTCGGGGAAGAAGGAGAAAAGGTAAGGCGTATAAACGTAATTGGGAGAATGCTATGCGCATTTTCCCCGACGCGCCGCGCCGGGCGCGATCGAAGCTCCCCCAAATCCTGTAGGCACAGAGATTTTCATTCGGCGCCGTGTGTTTGTTTTCTCCCGCGAACACAGACACGCAAATACACTCACCGGATGCGGGAGCTTTTATTTTCCGTTCCACTCCCGATTTCTCCTCTCTCTCTCTCTCTCTCTCCCTCTACCCTCTCTTTCTGTTTTCGCTTCCCCTCCCCCTTCTTTTCTCTGGGAGATGATAAGGGCTGAGCAAACACACAACACGGAGCCTCTTATTCACAGTGGTGTGTCGGCCGGCCCCGGACTGCACAGCCCGGCCCGGTTGTGCATTGCGCAATCATTGATTCATTCATGCCTGCGTGTTTGCCCGGCGGATTTGTCGCGCCGCCACCGCCCGGATCAAACCCCTGCCGCTCCCCTTTCTCCTCTTTTTAGCGTCGCTCCCGCCGCCGCCGTCCCCGCATGCCGCTATATGCCGCGTGTAAAGCACGCCACCTGCCGCCTCCCACCGCCGTTGAGCCAATATAACGGGGGAATATCGACGACTGGGTGTAAATCATTAAGAATCACGAGGAAAGTTAACTAACTGGATATTTTTCCATTGCGGATGGGGGGAAAAATAGACACGTGCGCGGGATGTCATTGAAAACCTTGACGGAGATTGAAGTGAATAAAGAGGAGAGAACCCCTCCCGTTAAGGGGTTGAGACGTTCTAGTTATAAATCAGACAGTCTCAATTTGCAAATGAAGCGCAGTTAGTAGATACTGCGAAAAATTGTCGATACATATATCATGGTACATTTTTCAGTATTTGCAAACTACGCTTCATTTGAGAGTTGAGACAGTTGCGATTGTTGTCGCTGACCAGGTGAATGCTTTGAAATTATAAATTTACAAACACTTCGTATGACTTGGAATTGTTCGACAAGCAAGAATGGGCTGTCGCTAATTTACAAAATGTTATGTAAGTAAAAAATCACAAAGAAAATTGTAATTTTACGAGGATATTTTTCACAGTGTAAACATATTGCGATTTCTTTGATTTTTTGTTTGAATAAGCACTACCGTAGAATTGACAAAAACAGCGGCTAGGTAAATCACAATTTTTAAGCTGTGGAAATTTAGGCGAGGCGAATCACTTTGTTCTGCAGATCTATGGGATTCACGATGCAGCAGACCAACACACTTCTTCTGATCTGGAAAAGGCGGGGGAGGTGGTGGGGTCCGGCCTTCGCCTTCATAGAAAAGGGTTTACTAAGAGATTGGATTGTGGGCAGGGAAGTAGGAAGGAGGGGGGGGGGGGGCGGAGAGGGAAATTTGGAGAGGGCTACGAGATTTGGGGAGGAGGGAATATGGAGACAACGGACAGGGATGGGGCGGTCCAAGATCCGTACCCCCCACAACCTGATAGTCAACGTGAATGTTGACCTTAGATATTCCAACCCCGCAAAAAGCAAAGGGGCCACGGTCGATCTTGTTAGCCTTGGTTACTGTTCGGGCGCGCCGTTGCTGCCGCCGCAACCACGCGCTATGGCTGGATAGGCCATTATGACAGTAACAGATAACGGACCGCACCTACTGATTGTTTTCTGCAGCTCTATGTTAAAAAACGAAATTTGGAAAATAGGAAGTATTTGTTTGCACTACTTTTTGCTTTCACGCGGTATTTATTGTAAATTTGCCACTGCATTCTAAAATTTGCAAAGGAAATACACTTAACAATCTCAAGTCGTTCATATTTATCTCACAATTAATTGACTGACTCTCATGCATCTGTCAGCGTGGCCGCTAGCAGGCAGAGAGAAGGCGACCGGGAGCTCGTGTCGTGAGGGGAAAGGGGGGGGGGGCTCTGGAAGGATCAGTGTGTAGAAGGGGGTACAGAACAGAAAGTGGGAGCGGGGGTGGCACTAGAGGACGGGTCTGAGAGGCGGATGCTGCCCCGGGCTTTATATGTCGCTGTTCGTCCAATTACGAGAGACGGAGGAGAAATCGTCTGACGAACTACGAGAGAAAATAACCCTAAGTTGTCTTGTTATTTCAGCCGTAGCGCGGCGCGGCGAGTCCAACCACAGTGCGTCTGCCGAGTCAGCGCCGTTATCCCGAGCAGTGACCGCGAGAGGGTGGAAGGATTCGTATTCAATTTTACTTTAGTCAATGGTTATAGCATGTTTCGATAGTTAAGGAGTGTAGAGGGTTAAAGTCCAAGTCATGATTTGCTTCAAATTTTATAAATAAATAAGTGACGATGAAATAAGTAGGTTGCATTTCATTTCGTCCGAAGGATCCACTGAGTGAATTTAAGCTTACTAGTTACACTAAAACGTGTTGATGGAGCACTAAACTGAGTGTAAATGACGAGGACATAGGTATTCTAGGTTTAAGATAGATGAAGAACACAATTTAAATAACTATGCGAGTGCCTGGTCCAGACTAAGGCTAGTAACACGAGTAAAGAACTGGGTTACAGTGACAACAGCTGCCAGCTGTAGCCCCTGCAGACGGCAGGGTAGGCCGGCCCGCAACACATGCCTGCCCGGCGGCACAGCCCACCTCGCAGGAGTCTGACTCCGCCACTGACATTTTGTTTGACTGGCACATGTGAGTGTGTGTGTGGGTGGGAGTGAACTTAATAACTCTCCGCTTCCCGAAATAACCACTGACATTCTTTTCTCGATTGCATGGTAGGCAGCACTTTTGAGCGCTCCTTGCAAAATGGGAATATTCACATGTGATCACTTTTTTTTCAAAAATTGACAAAATGGTATCATTTTGTTAAAACATACACATTTTTGCTGTGAAAAGCAGGAGTTTATTTTTAGTAATTTACTTGTTTTCTGGAGAAGAAACACCCCGACATTTCTGTGTTGCGGACGGGTCTCCATCGCGCTTGCAGCTCCGACACAGCGTATCAGCCCGGGCGACTTGCGACTGGTATAGAGATTGATAACCCGCGCACGGATTTCCTCCAACAGAAGAGCGAGTCAGGAATATGACTGGAAGACTCAAAAAGTATAAAATTAATCGTTGGATTCATTGGCCCCATACGCGAATATTTCGAAAATTCAAAATTCCCGAGGCACGTAAACCTTATTTTCCGACAACCCTGGGACAGCCAACCCATAAAGCTTTGTTAGCTATCTCCTTCGTATCATCTTCTTTCTCTGACCAGTGGTGCAGTAGGAGACAGGAAGATGAAGGGAAAGATTGGAAGCCATCCGGAAGTCCTGCGTTCTCGCTCTCGCCTGCACTCATACCACCACCGTTCGGGTGCAAGGCGGGGTGCATCCGCGCGTGCAGCAGGCGGATGGTAATCAAACAGATGATGATGAGTTTTACAACGAGAACGCCCGGTTGCCCTTCGCAACGGAATAATTTAAGAGATGGATATCGTTTCTCTGAATCTACAAGTGTGCAACTGGCATGCACATGGCAGTGTTCAACTCTATGGTGCACGCTCTTCGATGATGGACTGGAAATTTGAATATCTAAAGAGTGCTCAACACTAAATTTGAACACTTTAAAGTGTTTAACTTAACTTTACTGTGTAAGATTTTCTTTTTAAATTCAAATTCAGACTAACACTTAAAAGCGTGGAACGTAGCGTGCGAACTGGCATGTGAACGTCAGCTG